CCAATATATTTACAATCCCCTTTTAGAGAAGTTTGAAAAACATATCAAAGTTTTAAGTATGCATAGTTGGCGACCGCCAAATCCATTTCCTGGACGCATCTACGGATGTGTTTGCATGCACTCACAGAGAAGTACATGCAACGGACACCACCCAGGCATTACCAGTGAAGGAGCTGTGTACATACCAGTAAAGAATAGTTGCCAAGATATATCATGAAGTCAAAAAAGCAAGGAGAAAAGCAGCATTATAATGTGCTACCATTTGTGTTCTTAAAAAGAAAGGGGGTGACGTATGTATAGGCTATCCACGAAGAGCACCCCAAAACTGGTCAGAGCAGCTGCCTCCAGGGAGAGGAAGTAGGCTCTGGGGGACGACTGACATGCCACTTAGACTGTATGCCTCAGTCTTGTTCCCCATCTTTTTATTGAGATATAATTGGCCTATAACATTGTATTTGTCTGATCTGGTTTACCACCTGCTTTACCACCTGCTGGTGTCACCTGGTCAGCGTGTCTCACTCAGAAGCCGACCTGCGAGGCTGTGAGGAATGAATGGAATGGTGGGAGCTAAAGCATGTAGTGCACTGCCCTGCGCTTGGTGGGAGCCGGGCACGCAAGGGTGTCCTTCCACGCTCTGGTGCCAGCCTCCCTTAGCACTTATGCAGACAGGATTTGACCTGGCACTCCAGGCAGGGGACGCCACGAGCAAAGGCCTGTCAGCAGAAATAAACTGCTACGTCCAGGGAAAAGCGGAGGCCGGCCTGACAGGCTTGGGTGGGAGAAGATGGGAGATGGCTCAGGGGCGGCCAGCGACTCTCTGGGTTACAACACAGGCTCTGAACTGAAGAAAGAAGAGAGGGGTTCCACCTGGAAGAAGGAGGGAGGGGCATTCAAGGCACTTCCTGCAGGTGGATATTCAGGAGGGATGGCGAAGGCAGAGACAGGAAGCAGAATGATCCAACAGAAGTCAGAGCACCGGGAGCAGAGGCCTGCGCTAATGGCTGGGGCAGTGAGGATGACGGACCAGGGTCCCGCGGAGGCCCCTCTCTTGCCCAGGGCTGGGGTCTAACCTACACACGAGGGAGGTGACAGTAACACCTGTCACCCTGTGTTCAGATGAGAGGCTGGGAGCCCTAGAGAGTTTCAGTAACCTGCCTGAGGTCGCACAGCTAGTAGGTGATGCCCAGACCCTGCCCCAAGCTCCAGGGCCCTCCATCTGCGTGACCATCGGCGTGCAGCTGATGATCCAGGAGAGCCTGCCTCTGTCCTCCTCAGACCTCCTGGGCTTTGGTCCTTGGGGGCGCTGAGGTGACTGTGTAGCAGCTACAACCAGGAGCTCAGGCCACGATGTGTCCCCTCCCCCAGTAAACACACAGAGAAAAAGAAAATAATGGGTGGACTGTGCCAGAAACTCCAGCTTCAGGACACGGTATGAATTCCCCCTGGGTCCTGGGCTACCAAGGGCAGCGAGGAGAGCCGCCGGGCCTCCCCAGGCCTTAGTTCCCTAGGCAGCTGGAAGGCGGTTGTGGGGAGACCATCCAGAACGCCCTGCCCCAAGGCATAACCCCTGAGGCAACCGTAAAGCCCTCTGCAGTTACATAAGGCTGAGACAAGCCCTCACGCTGCTGGCAGCGTCTCAGCAAGCCTCTATTCCCCAGGAGTTGTGCCTTCCTCATTGGCTGGAGGGTTCTAGCCTGGCCTGGAAACACAAGTCCACAGTGGGTTTGCCTGAGTGTTTTATCGCTCACTGTGCTTGGCCAGGGACTGACGGCACAAACAATGATGGCAGCAGCTGCTGTTCATCAGGTACTTGCCGTGTGCCTTCCAGGCACCATGTACGTGTTATGTATTAAATCCTCCCAGCTGCCCTGTCCCATTTGACAGATGAGGAACATGCGGCACAGAGAACTCGATAGTAACTGGTCCCAGGTCACAGAGCGGGGAGGTGGTACGTTGGGGTTCTAAGCGGGGTGGCCACGGTCCAGCAGCCAGGCTCACAACCACTGTGATCTCCTGCCTGGTCCAGGCAAGGGCTCTGAATCAGCAGGACGTGGTGGTGGAGCGGGAGTAACAAAGAAAGGAAAGGGGGCTGATTTCCAGCACAGAAACCTTCCTCTGAGGTGGCGGCACAGGAGAAGCCTGGTGGGCGGGCAGAGCTACAGCGACGCTCAGTTTGGACAAACTGGGTTAGAGGCATCTGTTGGACGTTGAAGTAAAATGAACATCTGGGTGGAATCTTGCTCACAAAGGAGAAATAGGAGGCTCACGGCCCCACGGGGAAGCCAGACCCTGGACCCAGGAGCTGTGACTGCAAGTGCGGGCTGCCTAGGGGCCAAACCCCGAGAAGGAGCCCACTCTGGGCCCCGGGTGGGAAGGCAGCGCATCTCTGACCACCCGATCCGATCCGTGCTCCACGTATGGGCCCCTCACCCTAAAGGAGCGGATCAGCGAGAAGGACTCCGACCGGAGCCGCAGGATCCCGTCCTTGGTGACAGTCAGGAAATGCCCAGTCCTCTTGAACCGCTGGATTAAAAACTCCCCCTTCACAGTCACACCCGTGATTCCTGTGGGAGGTAATGAGAAAGAGCCCAAACAAAAACAGAACAAAGACACAGAGGAGGAGGAGGGAGAATACTAGCGGGGGCTGGGGGGGGCTTCGCCCACACACGCTGAGAAACTCCAGCAGGCCCCATGCAAGGTGAGACTCTGCCCCCTACAAACACATTGCTGCCATTAGCAACAGTGGCCCAAAGGAAAAGCGACCCATCCCCTGATGAGGACGCCAGTCAGCGTTCTCATGATGGCATGGGGCAGGTGGGACAGAGAAAAGGTTTTTGCAAAGCTTTTACTAGAAAAATGGCCCACAGAAGGCGAGTAGAGTAGGGCTTGGTGACTGAAAACTGTGTAATAACACTGATTCTAGCAACTGCTCAAGCGCTCCAGGGTGGAAAGGGGACTAGAACCCAAGAATGAGAGAGGAGTGGACAAGGGAGCCATGAGAAGTCGGGGCGCCATGCGCACAGCTCTTCCTCTCCAACGACATGCCCTGAGCACAGCAGGCAGCTCCCGGGCCGGGCCTGGTCTCGCAGGCAGCCGCGTTCGGCCTTCGCAGCAAGCGTCAGAGCTGCCCGCCGGTGGTGGCTTCTTTCCTGTCCCAAAGCTGGCTAAGCCAGCTATCTGGCAACTAAAGGGCACCACCGTTTTGCCTTGCCGACACAGCACACACTCTCCTATTTGATGTGCCCACACCTCTGGGCCCCAGCAAGGCAGGTAATGTTAGCTCACCTTACAGGGACCCAGAGGATAACCATGTGCTGGGAGTTATGTCCTGGAACTAGAACCCAGACACCTTGATCCCTGCTCCAGCCACAGCCCTTCCCAAGTGATGCAACAGGTGACTTAAAAATAACCTAGACGCTGAAATTCTACTTTGTTGCAACCTCTGCAGAAGAGAAAGGGAGATGTGTTTCTGGACAAGGCTGAGCTCGCTCTCCTGCTCTCAGCCCATAGCTCTGTCCAGATCCTAGTAAATATTCTCAGTCACCTCTCTAGCTGTCACCTCCACTGTTGCCTCTTCCATTGGGTAGAGACTGCGAGGAACAGACATGACAGGTAAGGGCTACAAAGTGCTGAGAGCCCTAGGAACTGTCACCTCATGAAACCTTGGTTTTGTCATCTACACGATCAGATAGCGCCTATGCCCCCAGGGCTGCCGTGGGATCAAGGAGACAGTGTGTTTGGTGAGCTGGACCCAAGCTCAGAACGGGCCAGCCAACCTTTAAAGGCTACCCTTTCATGAAGGTAATTCAATATCATTTGGCTATTTTCTCCACTGAGCCTGAACGTTCTCTAGGTCCATAGGTTAAACATATAAACAGGGGAAGAGAGGGGCAAACTTCTTGACATTTTTGATTCAGGCCTTCTAACCACCCTTGGGAATTCAAATGTCCCAAGGAAATAGGCCATTGAAGACTTGGCTACATCAAGCAGTTTCCATGTCAAAATCTAAAATTATAAAACCTCTCATCATTTATATTTATAGGCTATTCCTCAATTAAACCTTGACCAAAATTTTTTAAGGTACCCTTTCTGCTTTTCACGTAAATCGTCTTCTCTACTAACCTCCAGGTCACTGAGGGCAGAGGCTGCCTTTCTAGTTGGTGGCCTCCCCATGGCCTGCTCTGGGTGTGGTCCCCTGAGGACAGACCCACCACCGTCCCCCCTCGCCAGGCCACCAACGTGGGTTGCCACACCTTGTACCACAGGACCCAACTCCTAGCCCCAGGCACCTGCAGCGGGTGGTCGGTGCTCCAGCCCAAGGTGGGCTCTGGGAAGGGAACCGGCGGCCCACGGGCAGCCCAGCAGGCCAAGCCCCTGGAGAGCTTCTCACTCGTGGGAGGGCTTTGGGGGGTGGGGGCAGACGGGGCTACAGCACAGACAGGATAAGAAGGCCCAGCAGGCGCAGCGGGGAGGAGTCACCGGAGGAGCGAGCAGGCAGGGTCAGGAGGCCGTCATGGCAGGGACAGAGCTGCACGCGCCAGGGCAGACAGGGAGGCCACTCCTGAGGTCTGGGGCCGGCTAAAGGAGCAGTTTCCTGCAGTGGCTCTCACTCCCTGTCACCTCGGGACAGCCCTGGCCTCTGTGTCCTGTGGAGGAAACTGCTAGCCCCACCCAGCCCGGGCCCCAGAAGGAAGCAGGAGGGGCCATGTTGTGGGACTAAGGACTGCGAGGGGCAAACAGAGCAACTCCGCCCCTTCCATTTGATGTCTCTGAGCCTCAGTTTCCTCATCTGTCAAATGGGGACAAATCCCCTACCTAATGCTCATGCCCACCTGCCCAGCTGTGAGGCTGAAAGGAGCTGAAGGACACCAAGCACCAGGCCTGGTGCCAGGCCTTTGGTGGCCCCCTCAGAGTGCGGCTCAGAGACGGAGGAAGGGCACCAGCTGCAGGGCCGGCACAGCCTTGTTCGGACCCAACCTTTCAGCCCAGTGAGAGGCTCCTTACAGGGGGATGATCCGCATGGGCCAGTGGAAGCGCAGGTGGTACTGGCTCTTGCTCATCAACTCCTTTCCCTGGAACTCGCGCATCACACAATACACCTCGTTCAATTGCCTCGGGAAGAAATGCAGCGCTGGGAGGGTGTTGGCCCAGTGGTCTGACTACTGGGCTTTGGGAACCCAGGCCCGGCTGCCAGTCCCTTCCCAGGGGCTCTGGGAGCCCCCACCCCCAGGCTGGCCCAGGGAAGTAGCCTAGCAACAGAGCTGTTCTTGGATCTGAACTGGGTAAAAGGCCTATTGGCAAGTATATTTGTGAAGACAGCGTAGCAGTGTCCACCTCTTCAAAGCATTTCTGTAATGTTAGAGCAGCGATTTTCAGGCTTTTGCATCGCATGGCACACATACACTAATGACTAAAACTCTGCAGCACACCCAAAAGTATATTTTTTGCCAATCAGACCAAAAAATAGGTATAATTTTGATTCATTCATACTGGATGGCTATTGTTGTGTCGGCTGTTGTCATTTCTCATTTGACAGTCTAAGGGAAAAGAGGTCAGTGCCCCGGACTAAATAGTCAAGTATTGCATGTTTTAGAAATTCTTGAGGCACATCAGTTGAAAATCGCTGTGCTAGACGCATCTTCACATCACTTCCACATCCGGTGTCTTATCCGAGTCTGTTTATTCACCCTACTTTATGGACAATAAGACTGTGCCCATGTAAGTATAGATGAGTTGCCACAGCTCCTCTCTAAGTTAACGGCAGGGGAGGACCCATAAGCCAGGCCACCAGGGCAACTCTAGACTCTGCTGACCTGCCTCGTGAAAACATGGCCAAGGCCAAAACCGGCCACCAGGTGAAGCAATGCCAAGAAACAGGGAGTTATTAAGAAACATCATTGTGTCAATGGCAGAGAATGCTGGACATGTGTTTATTATACAATATTAAGGGAAATGAAAGCAAGAAGAAAACACCAGAAGCACCCTAAGCCCAAGGAGGGGGACATGATAGAGCAGTTAACACAAGCTCCCTGGGTCTGACATGAGCTCACCTGCTAACTCGCTCTGTAGCCCTGCGCAAGGTTCTTAACTTCTCTGTGCCTCAGTTTCCCAACCTGTCAAGTGGAGGTAAACAAAAGCACCTACCCCACGGGATTCCTGTGAGGTTTAAGTAAAATGACACATAAAGTCTAAGCACAATGCCCAGTGTAAATGCTAGCTATCACTGTCATCATCACGACATCAATATGACAGACTATTTTTTGGTTCTTTTGTGTATTCTTAAATGCAGTATACGCTCACCGTAGAACATTTAGAATCAAAAATAACAAGAGCATTATTATTAATATGTTCTAAATCCCTGACATTTTTGGATTTAACAGGCACAGAGTTGCCTGTTCCTGAGTGACCATAAAAGGCCATGAGACGGTTGTGGCACCGGCTGAAGTCCCCTAAGCTGGTGGGGAGGCTGGCGAGCCGCTCACTGCTGTGCGCTCCATCCAGGTCATGCACAGGCCACCGATGTTTCTCATGTACCCTCCTGACCCCAGGAGGGGAATGAGCTGTGATGAGCCCACAAAAGTCTCAGGAGAGCCGCCCTCAAAGGCTCCGAGGGTTCCCTCTATTCAGCATGCACCCTGGGATCCACAGGAGGCTTTCTGATGTGGATTCCGCCCCCATCGTCAACCTTCCATGTGCTTCGCTGCTGGCCAAGGCCTGGACCCTCCAGCCTCCCTCCGGCCTCCCTCCAGCCTCCCTCCAGCTACCTGAGGCGGCAGGGGGGCCTCCTCTCCCGGGTGATGAAGCCATTACAGTCTATGTCCACCTTCAAAGACAGCACCTCTAGCCTCTCATTTGACACATTACTCAAGTTCTTCTTCATGGCCTTAGTGAAACCCTCCATGCCCAGGACTTCAAGAGAGAAGAAAGAGTATCATCCACTTCATCACAACCCATCACCAGCCACAACGTTCTTGCGTGTCTTGGTGCTGAACGGGGACACACAGGGGATCGCATTTGCCAGGTTATCTGTTGCATCGCCTGTTCAACATTCAATCACCCACAGATACTGGCTGCACACCTTCCAAGCACTCTGCTGGCCCCACTGCTGGGGGGAGGGGAAGTGTGCTGAGAAAGATCAGATCCCACTTCTCAACAAATAAGACAGACCAGGCATCAAGACAAAGAAAACTGATGAAAGAAAGAAAGAGAGGGAGGGGGGAAGAGAAAGAGAGAGAGAGAGAAATAAAGACAGGCAGAAGTAAATAATGGCAACAAAGAGACATAAATTAAAACATAGAGAGGGAGAGGTGATTTTATGAATATATATAATATAAAGGCAATTCAAATACAAATTTGGCTGGAGGGAAAGATGGGGAGGGGAGAGGACGAGAGCAGAGATAAAATATCTCCTCTGCTGGGTTTTGTGGCCCTATGGGACCCTGCCTGCAAATGGGTCAATAACTTTTGTCTAGATTTTTTTTTTTTAATAATTACAGCACATATTTACAACGTGTTTCCAAAGCCCCCTCCAAGTATCTGGAGGCCTCGCCATGACCTGAAGGCCGTACGTTTTCCCGCCTCGCCCACCTCCCCCTCCCGCGCCGCCCCTGCATTCTCCGCTCCGGCCCCAGGGAGTCCCCGCACCGTTTCTCACAGCACCAAGCACACTTCCACCCGAGGGCCTTTGCACTGTCTGGTGCCCCGCACCGGGAAGCCTTCCCGGGGACTCGTTAAGGAGGCCCCCGCCGCCATATCTGGCTCTGCTGTCCCCCTGACATCATCTCCACCCCAGCCCTGCGCTCTGGGAGTGCAGGGCTGAGCCCGTCCCCCCATGACTGGGTCCCCCGAGTGTTTCTGCAGGCACTGGAATGGCGATGATACTGGGTGCCAGTTTCACCTGCGTTTACTCACTGACCACGTAATGAGGGGGCCGTGAGGAAACCGTGGCACAGAGAGGCGAGGCGCCGCGCCCTAGGCCGCGCCGCGCGTGGTGGAGCCCGCGGCTGCCCCTGCAACCTGGCCCCCGAGGCCCGGCTGCGCCCCCGCTCTGTGCTCCTCATGGAACACCCGGCGCAGTGCCACAGCCGCGGTTATCATCATCCTACTGCTAGACTGAGGAACAAGTGAAAGGCTGAACGAAACCTGTCCTGCCTAAAGAAGGACCTATCCTATTTATCTGAAGCTACAGCCAAGAGGCTTCCGCACTTTGAGTGGCACTTCGTGGTCCTTCATGTATAACGCGGACATCAGATGACAGTCCGTGAGCAGGCAGCCTTTCTCCCTCGGGAGATGGGGGGCATCAAAGCATGTAATGAACAAACCCCTCATTCTAGGGATTGAGTCTTTTCAGTGGTTAAGAAACCATATTTATTTGTTCACTGTTGTATTATTTTAATATGCTTCTTCCCATAGAGTCTCCCAAAATCAGACTCCCTGACTGCTGCCAGCCCACGCCCGAGCCACCAGTGACCTTGAACCACACCTGCCAGTGTCTGTCTTTGCCTTGGGGCCTCCTCCCCTTGAGCAGAGACCCCACTGGCGACTGCCGCCCCCTGGGCAGCTGTGTCCCCTCCAGCTTCCTGTTCCCTGCCCTGCCCTGTCACTCTGTCTGCCTCGCCTCATCACTGTCCTTTGCTTTACCCTGTGAGGCTCTCTTGAGTGACCCCGTCTATTACCCATCTCTCTATCTCAGGAGAGAATTTCTCTCCCACGTCCCTGACTCTGTTTCCAAGTGTCCCTCCCGCCCCACCCCTCCAACTCATGTTTACAATCCAACTTAATGTTTATTCCAAAACTTGCTCCCTTTTCCTGCATTTGTCTTCTTTGCTAATGGTGTTGCCTCTCCCCCGTTACACAGGCTGAAAACCTGAGGGGGTTTTAATGTCCTCCCTCCTAAATCCTCCTAAGAATCCTTTGATGCTAGAATGCAGGCACTGCCATTCTCCCTGACACAGAGGCGAGGCCTCAGAGGACCGAAGAGCTCGGGGACTTGCCCAAGGACACACAGTGGCAGGGCCAGGATGTGAAACCGAATCCTTCCCTCCTCTCCGTCAGAACCTCCACTCACCGACAGAGGGCAGCAGGAACGGGGCCCTCGCAGCCAAGCCCCCCCACACCCACCCAGCCTCCTTGCCTTTCTCAAACAGGCCTAGCTGTGTCACCTCCACGCTACTCCGTCAGCCCCACTGCTAGCATTCAGGGCCCCTCCTGACCTGAGTTGCCCCCCACCCCGGCCTCCCTTCTCCCCGCCTTGCCCTAGAACACCCCCTCCTTCTAGCACAGCACCCCCTGCACCCCTCCTCTGCCACTGCCTTCCTGGAACTGCCCTCCTCCGCACGTCCTGGGAAACCCCTACCTTTCCGGGCAGGTTTCTAACCACAGGCACTTCCACACCCCAGTGCCCCACCTCCGGCCCCACCCCTTTCTCCTCCTCTGTCTTTCTTTGTAATGTCGAGACATAGAATTATCGACTATTTTCATATACTTATGAGCACTTTTTAAAATACAAACTATATTAAAAATATTCAAGGAAAAAATGTTTCCAAGCCTCCCCTCTGCCTTCAGGGAAATGCGCCCACACCCACCACCACAGAATCCGGCCCTGTGCTGTGTGCTCACACTCCCTCCTTCATTTACTCTGCTGTGTGGGGCACTGCACATGGTGTGGGGCACCCAAAAAGCACAGGCTTGGTGTCCAAGGCCCTGGGCCACTCCATTCGGGCTTCTTGCTGATTCAGGTGAGCAAAGGCCCCAGGCTCCTCATGTACACAGCCAGGACGCCGGCCAGCTCTGTGGAGCTTCCCTGAGAGCGCAACAAAATCCAACAGAGGGCTTTGTAACCCATAAACCCCCTTCTGATGCTGATTTTTCTCAAGCCTGGCAGTGCTGGGTAAAATATCTGTTGGGGACACTGTGCCACTGGTGTCCACCCAGAAGCACCTGCACAGAAAGTAAAGTCCACATTGGCTCCCCACGTGGAGCTGCAGGGCCCCCGGCTAATCCCTCAACCCCTGAGCAGCCTGCAGGCTCCCCTAGGCAGGCCCCCAGGCGCGTTGGGCTGTGGGCACATGGACACTTTCAAAACCTCCCAAAGATAGGAGGGAACTTCTCTTAAAGAACCACGTGCCCACCTCAAAGATCCCGGTTCAACCAACAGAAAATGAAGGCCGGGAACGTGAACTAGCAGAAGAGGAAGGAGAGCTCTGTCCGCTCCCTTGGCCTCCGAGGCAGGCACAGTCGGTCAGGGCTCCCAAGAAACAGCATCAAGCCCATGCTCAGAATCCATCTGTTTCAAAGACTTTTGAAAGAGAAAATTGGCCTTATTTTCCTTTATTGTTCATCAGCTAAAGGTGAATTTTCCTTTCCTCCTTTTAAAACCACGACCAGTTGTTTCTTTTTTAATGAGGAACCACTCTTTTACACTGATATGAAAAGATTACTAAGACATATTAGGTAAAAAAGCAAGAGGAAAAACTTTGGTAAAAAGTATTTTTTTAAAAAAGCAAGGAGCAGACAATTGCAGAGATTCTTTTACAATGTATACTGGTATCAAATCATCATGTTGTACACTTTAAATGTATTATGATTTTATTTGTCAATTACACCAGGGAGGGAAAAAGAGCAAGGGAAAAAAGCTGGGGAAACAACAGCAAGGAGTAGAACAGTGTGGATAGTAGTTCCCTACGCCCAGGGGGAAGTGACTATACCCACTTCCGTGCTTGTCCAGCAGAGGGCGACATTTCTCCATATGCCAAAAAGGTGTCAAGGGAAAGTGCGTTTTGAAATTTGAACCACATGACTGTATCGCCTATTCAAAACAAACACAAACACAGTCAAAACTGTGGCCAAAGCTGGCACTATCAGGGTCCTCCAAGACACAATGGTGGCAACTCCTGGTTGCCAAACACAAACACAGAAGAACTCCAATTAGGAATCATCTCTTCAGGTCAGACACAAATGGTCCCTCCGCAGCCTCGCTTTGTTTATTTGTAAACTGGGGACTTGTTATCTTTCCCTGCCCACATCACAGTGTGACTGTAAAACTCAAGAGAAATTGATGGGGTGAGCAGACGGGGCCCCAGCATTGGTGTTCATAGTTTAGTGTCTATAAACAAAAATGCCTTTCATTACGCCTACTGTTTAACTTTATGCATATCATCCTAATGGGAAAAACCAATGTCTAAGGAGAGAAAAATGTCTGATGCACAAAGGATGTTCTTCACAATGTTAAACTCAATGAAACCTAAATATCTAAAAATAAAGGAATGGCTTGGTCAATCAGTAGAACACTTGCATTCATTAGTAGTAATGGTTTGGAAGACCACGTAACAATATGAAAAGTCTGTAAGGTATCAACATTATGAGGAAAAGGAGGGTCTGGAGTTACATATATAGTACAATTACAGACATGTAAAAACACACATAGCCGTATGTGGCAGAGGCCTGGGGGTGCCCAGCCCCTGGCGTTCATGCCCTCCTGTGATCCCTCCTCCTTGACTGTGGCAGGACACGCGGCTCACTTTTAACCACTATGGCAAAGGCGATGGGATGTACAAGACCATGTGAACACGATTACATGACTATGTTATCAGGCTGTAGCACCCGTCTTGGTGGAGTTTCCATCTCCCTGGCTGTCTTGAGCCTGGGAATCAGCCATGTTGGAGAATCGCACATGGCCAGGAACAGGAGGCAGTTCTAGGAGCTGGAGGCGGCTTCCAGCCAAGAGTCAGAAAGAAACAGAGGGCCTCGGGCCTGCAGCTGCAAGGAACTGGATTCTGCCAACACTTGAATGAGCTCAGAAGTGGATCCTTCCTCAGCCAAACCCCAGATGACACCACAACCCCAGCTACCATCTAAGTCAGGAAGTTTGTGGGAATATTGTTACGTAGCAATAGATAATAAGCCATACATAAGAAATTGTTTGGAAGGAAATATACCAAAATACTGACAGTGGTTACATTTCAGTGTTTGGATTAGGGATATTTTTCTTTCTAGGTCCCAAACAGCCTCCAATATGCTTACAATACATACATAACAATAAAAAGTTTTAAAAGGAGATGCTGGACACAAAAATTTTGTCAAGTCTGACCCCTCCGCACACTGCAGGTACAGGGTCCCGCCCTGTGCAAAAGCCAAGAGACTGAGCCCACAGTGCATTATCTCCAGCTGAGCTTACGTCATCCTCAAACAGTTTCTCCACCTTGGCCAGGTGTAGCTCGGGAAACGGCTGAGCCTCACGTTGGAAGTTGGGCATCTGGCTAAGGGTGGCAGATGGTGTCAGGGAGCTAAGGACCTCCTTGCTCTTCTAGAATCTAGCTGGGGTGGATGGCTGGAAAAAATATGACTACAAGAACCAGGGACTAAAAAGGCTAATTCCCTGCACTGAACGTTTTAAAGCACATCTTACTGAAAGAGAGACCCTTTGGGGAAGGACAGGGTATGATGTGTTACTAAATGATGCAAACAAGTCTTGGCTGCTTTCGGACCTAGGAAGACCAAGACATACCTAGACAGACTGCTTCTCATGACTTCGGCAAGTTCTCCTTTTACCACAGCTGAGGCTCAGTGAGGTTCGTGGACACTGCCAAGGTCCCACCTCACACATAACAGGACTCTTATTTATAAGGTGCTTCAGTTCAGTAATTATATTATTTCAAATCTCCAGTGGTCAGAATTCAAGACCCCAAAGAATCCAGCTCCATGTTCCCCAGACAACTTGATATGGCCCTGACTAGCCCACACACCTCCCACCCCCGGGTCAGATCAGGTCACCTGCACACACGCCAAAGCTCATGTACACCCCACCCATCAGGGGCTCACAGCTTCCACTTCTCCTCCTCGCCTCCCCTCATCCTCCCATAAGCCATACCCACCCCTTCGCCCCTCAACAATCAACAATGTTTCCTCTCTTTAGCTCCTACACTTCTCATTTGGACACTGAGCACAATGCTTCAGGTTACTAAAGGTTCAGATCCTCAAAGTCTGCCTCTCCCAAAAGATGGCAGGTGTAGGATGTGGTGTGACGACCGCTGAACGCTGCTCCCTGAGACACGCTGCTCTGGGCTTTGGGAAACCCCAGCCCCACCAACCAATCAAAATGCTCCTCTTCTGCAAACTTTCATCCATTCACTCATGGTCTACACACACACTGGCTGAGTGACACACAAGTGAACCAAGCTGGAGGCCGGTCTCCACGGAGCCAGGCAGAAGAGCTGGTTAATGCTCTCACCAGCCACACAAACCCTCAGATGAGAAAGCTGAGCACCATCTTTCACTCTTCCCTCTTCCTCCTATGCTTTCTTACCGTCCCTTCTATTAGCTTTGCTGTGATCCATCACCTATACCTAAACTGTCCTCTTGCACATCCTGCCCCACCCCGAACCCTGGCGTTTCGCTGGGACAAGTACAGTGGCCTCCCCTAACCGGGAAACAGTCTGGCCATTCCCTCCCAATTCACCTCCCAACCCTGGCACCTATCATCTCTCTGGAAGGCGAATCTGATTGGCTCTGTCACTTTCCAAGCTAGTCCACCACCACCGCTACTGAGTGTGGCATTCAAAGCCCTTTGCAAAGTAGCCCTGAGCTGTCTTTCTAGTTCCCATGTACACACGAGGGCCCAGGCACACCAAGAGCTCCCCAACGCCCCCAGATACCGCAAGCATTCCACTTTTACTCACATCGTTCCGTCTCGGTAGTACAGACCGTCTCGCCCAGAGGTGAACTCCTACCCATTCTTCAAAGTCTGGCTCAAATGGCACCTCCTCCAAGGAGATTTTCTGTAACTCTCAGGCAGGAGTCATCTCTGCCACCTCTGTGCTCCCAAACTCTTTGCTCATACCTCCCATGCATGTGTGATTCTCGTGCGCCTGTCCATACCTGCGTGATGGGGTACACACAGATGCAGAGTCCCAGAGCGCTGGGCTAGAAGTATGCCTGGCTCCCTACTTCCCAGCTAATTATCTTGGGCATATCCCATCACTTCTCTGAGCCACAAGTGTCTTCGTCAGCAAAAAAGATCCACAATACCCACCTCGCAGGGCTATGGTAAGATTTAAATGACACCTGAACACATGAGAAGCCCCAGCAAACTGCAATCACACAATAAATGACGGCTCCTGTTGTTACTCCTCTCACAGTGAGTTTTTTGAAAGCAAGGACAGATTTATCTTAATCTTAAATTAATTTATACTAATTATAATTCCCCAGCCCCAAGCATAAATAGACACTGAATAGTTATCTCCCTCGATAGTAATTTGTACAGCCCATCACACCATTACCACAACTGGGCGGAAGGGAATTAAGTATAGTCCACAGCGAGACTGAAACCGGGTAGCCTCAGATTTGCTGTACTTGGCCCATGCAGTGTTTTGAAAGGAAGAACTGGCCTGCCTCTGCACACACTTCAGTGTCCTTTCTGGCTTTGTAAACATCTGCATTTGCAAGCCCTGGTGAGAGACTGGTAACTGATATAAACTTCTGTGCTGACAAGCGATGCCTGGATGGCTCCAGAACACCCCCTCCTGCCATCAAGTGATGGTGTTTTGGTTTTAAAGATTTTTTTATTTATTTACTTTTAGACAGAGGGGAAGGGAGAGAGAAAGAGAGGGAAACATACATTGATGACTTGCTTCTTGCACACCCCCACCCCGGGCACTCAGCCCGCAACCCAGGCACCTGCCCTGACCGGGAATCGAACCAGCAACCTTTCAGTTCGCAGGCCAGCGCTCAATCCACTGAGCCGCATTAGCCAGGGCTGATGGTTTTCTTACCTTTTGAAGTTGAGGAGTCTCTCTCAAGTCCTCAGAAGATACTGGTCTTGACCTAGAACAGGGAATCATAGTCACGTGAACTACAGTCTTTGTAAGGACCATGTGGGAGGCTCCTGTAGCTGGGTCACAGGAAGGTGAACAGTCAGGCAGGATGCATCAGGGGTGGCTGTCCCGTGCCCGTGGACACTCCACACACACCTGTGAGCATCCCTCTTCCCACAGGGGCTTCTCCAGCAGGTAGCTTTTCCAGGCTTGCACTTTTGAGTTTTCTTTCCCCTATTAGGAAAGAGTTGTCCTACCCAAGCCCTGGAGCTTCGCAAGTTACTATACTCCTCGCTTAATGCCAGAGGCTTCCTAAAGGGGGTCACCCTTTTTACAGAATTAGGAAGGGCTTAGGAGGCCAGGAAGTGGCCCAATTACAATCCACAGATTAGGAAAATAAGGTCCAGGAGCAGGCCTGTGTCCAAAGGGGTCAAAGACATGCACCAGAGGGTGGCAGGATGGGCCCAACTTTCCACTTCGTACACCCTCCCATCCGCCCTCCAATGCTCCTGGAGACAGGACATCTTTGAGAGAGGTGACAGAACCCTCCTGACCCTACCTAAGGGTCAGGGGAGACCATGGGGGAGAGCTCTGTTCCCTGGATCTCTGCCCCAAGAATACAAAGGACACGTTTGCATACACTGGGTCAGTGGCGTCTCCAAAGAAGGCGGAGACAGCGAGTCCCACCGGCAAAAATGGAGAGGGTAGGACTTGGGGATGGCAGGGAAGTGGCCAGGAAGGAGTCAAGCCCCACGCATGTTCCGTGGGCAGAGCAAATGAGCCAGCTTGGCTCCACAAAGGGCTCCTGGGGGAGGGGAGAGCAGGGAAGAGCAGGAGAGAAGAGGGAGAAGAAAACTGGAAGTAGAATTTTAAATTGCCTGCCCAGGGAGGCTGACTAGATGAAGGGCAGTTACGACCATTCACCAGCGTAAGATGGAGGGAGAGCGGAGGAAGACAGAAGACTAGCCAACTGTGTCCTAACCTCCGTGTCTCGGCAGCAGCTCAGATGTAAGGACCGAAGGAGGGAGATGAGCCAAAGGAAAGGAGCTCTGGAAACCAAGAACCAGGGTAACCGAGGGGAATGCCAGAAACATGTCTAGAGAAGGGAGCAAAGAGGGACAGTGACCTGATCCGTGTTACGCTGAACTGTCCAATTGTAAGAGGAAAGGAAAAAAAAAAAAAAACATGGAAAAAATACAATAAAGACATTTTTTAAAAAAGGAAGAAAAAACAAATACCTGGAACTATAGGGACTGACACTTGAGGAGTGGCTACATTTAGAAGATAAAGAGGAGGGGAAACACAGAAAATCCAGGATGGGTCAGCTAGGACAGGGTGCTTCAGAGGGGACCAAGTAAGAAGGAAAAGGAAAGGGCCCCGGCTGGCGTGGCGCAGCGGACTGAGCGCCGGCCTGCAAACCAAGGGCTGCTGGCTCCATTCCCGGTCAGGGCACAGGCCTGGGGTGCAGGCCAGGTCCCCGCTAGGGGACGCACAAGAGGCAACACACACATGATGTTTCTCTTTATCCCTCCCTTTCCCTATCTCTAAAAATAAAATCTTTAAAAAAAAAAAATGAAAAGGACACTGAACATGGCAGTTAAAGGTCACCAGTGGGAAAACCGCACCCTCTGTCCTGCTCTGTCACGTTAAGGACACACACTAGGGTGTTGATACGGGTTATGGGTAGTTGGGGGCTAATGTGGCAAAAGGTGGGCAAAGAATAAAGGAATACAAAAAAGTCCGCACTAACCAAAGGCACATGTATCATCACATCTATATAAAGCAGGAAAACATGGGTATGTTTAAAGAAAATGGGCATGTTTTGCTTTTACTCTAAAAATGTGTGTCATGGAAAACAAAGAAAGGCTAAGACACTGTTCCAGGTTAAAGGTGACTAAAGAGAGCCAGCAACCAAAGGCAATGCAGGATTCTGAACTGGACCCCAGACTAGGGAAAAATAAAAAAGCTCTAAGCACCATTAGGACCATTGGTGACAGTTGAACAGGGACTCTACATCCTCAGGTAACACTGAATTAACATTCCCTGCTTCTGACTACTGTGCTGTTGGCGTAATGTCTGCAATTTATTTTCAAATGGTCCAATAAACACATACAATAATGTGGCAAAATGTGCACAATTAGTCAATCTGGGCAAAGGGGAATTCTTTACACTACTTACAACTACTTAGAAAAATTTAATTATTTCAAAACTCAAAATTTTCTAAGAAATGTGTTTAACCAGAAGAGAGAGAACTGTGTACATTCATGGACTGAGGTAACAAGTGGGGCGGGGCGGGGGGGAAATTGGTGGAGGGCAACAGACATACCCAAGAGATACTAAGGAAAAGAGTAAGAAGCAGACAGAGAGTACCGGTCCTCCAACACCGGCGAGACGGAAAACTTCAGATGCAGAATTAAATTTGTATTTAGAATACAGAACAAGTAAGAGCAGGGGGAACTACACCCACTGGCCTCCATCTATTCCCTAGTGACATGCTCTGGGGGCAAGGGTCCAGAACTGTACAGACCTGGGGACAGGAGTGGACCTTGGAACAGCCAGAAGTGGCACACGCTAGGGGGGAAACAGGAGTAACTGGATTGCTGAATAATGAGTTTGTAAGGATCTGTGGGGGCAGATGAGTTAAGGCTCAGGCAGGTACAGCTGTCCCGGAAACGGTGAGACACGCTGCCCTGCGCAGCCTCTGATCTCAGGTAAATGTATGCTAGGGCCCAGGTGTCCACTCTTTTGAAAATGACTTTATCCCCAAACCCTCACTCAGCCCGGCCCAATCTGATCGCCCCAGCGAACCTCGCTGCATAGCCACATCTGACAGTAGCTTACTGGCTTTCAACGTCCCTCTCAAGTGAGGTACCTTGGCAGCTGTCCTGCGTCCAAAGTAGCTCCTCTATGAAGCTGCTGTGGAATGCCGGGGGCTTCCACCTAACTGCAGTCAGCCGAGAACCAGGAAATGAGACAGAATTCCACGTGCAGAACACAACACGGAACAGCAGAACCCATCCCACAAACCGAAACAACGCAGCCATTTTTCATCCAATTTGAGACAATCTTTTTATTGACGTTGACCTGACAGCAGACAGTGACAGGAGCGACAGCACACATCGCCGGGCCACGAGTGAGTACAGAACGACCCACAGGACAAACACAGCACAGATGCCCCCCTCTCACGGAAACTGTGGAAAATGCCAGGGAGCCGTGTGGGAACGCGGGACTCGCCAAAACCGAAAGGCCAACTGGCCCCCACAGTTGGGACATGAAAGGCACAGCACCTGCTTCTTAACACGTCCTCTGTATGAGCTCCTATTCCTTGAAAAGAGGCCCCAGGAGCGCTGTCTGGGAGCTGGGGGACTCGCGTGCCCAGGCTCCCAAGCAGGCATGGACTCGGTGCGGCACTGCTCAACCGGCTCCGCGACACAAGGCAGTGGGACGAGCTGGCCACAGGCAGGGCTCTCGGGGAATTTCAACCAGGGACGGGTTCACATTTAAAAATACCCGGCTAAATTACATTTCATGATGACCTACGTGTAACCAAAATGTAACTGACCACCACGTAAGACACCCCTCAGACCTACACCACAAAGAGGACACATACGTACAGAATTTCTGCTCCCATTTCACCAGTAATAAAGAAAAGATTTTGTCACATTGTAGAACATTAGTAGAGTGGGTTAATAAAATGTCATAAAATATACAGGTCTTTTAAATCAGTTTTATTAAACTAGGTCTTAATAAGCTAGGAGGGTTTATTACACACACACACACACACACACACACGCACGCACGCACGCATGCGTGCACACGGCTGATGGCCCTACATTTGACTGTTTCCCAGTGTTTTGTTTTGGGGTTTTTCTGCTTTGGCCCAGTGCTTTCATTTCCAATCCAATGTTACCGTTTCTATGCACAGTAGGTTCTGCATTTGTCAATATTTTTATACAGACTAAATTCTGTCACAATATACTTTTCCTTCCCTGGGAAGAAATATGAAGAAAAAGGAGAAATATTAAGATACATTCTTTTAGGTAAGGGAAGATTCAGAAAACTTCCCGCCAAAGAGTAAAAACATAATCTATCAATAACTCAGGTTAAAAAAATAAAACAGAGGTAGAAGGGAGGATATTTGAAAGAAAAAATCTCCTAGATAAACCTTTCCACAAAAATGATTCTGAAAAACGGTTCAAAGTCCCACTTGAGACTAGTTCCCACGTCACCTGCCAATCTTAAGGTGATTGTGCCCCTAACAGGGGACATGGGGTCCTGCCAGGGCTGCAGTGATAGACACAGCACACTGCTCCGAGGAGGCCGCCTCCACTCCAGCTCAGCACAACGCCAATGTTGTCCTTCCCGGCTTTACCACTGCCAGTTCTACCACGTCAAAACCTGTATTCTAATATACAATTATATGTCAGTTATACCTCAGTAAAATTTTAAAAATACAAGCTTGCATCCTCAGCTTTTATAAAATTTTCAAAAATTTTCAAGATGCAACTTGCTTTGCTGAATAATGAGTTTGTAAGAATCTGTGGGGGCAGACGACTGAAGGCCAAAGGCAGGTAAAGCCGCCCTGGGAGTGGGTGAGAGACGCTCTCCTGCACAGCCTTTGCTCTCAAGCAAATGCACGTCAGCCAAGAAGAGAGGCTTTTTCCTTTTCAAACACAAATAAATGAGACAGATTTCAAAATGCCATAATTCAAGAAAAAAGGCAGATTCTCAATGTGGTTACTCACCCATCTCCTCCCCCAAAAAAAGAAAAAAGGGGAGGGGTAAATATTAAGTCAGAGAGTTAAAAATCCACAGGAAAAATTTTTTAAACAATTCTTTCATTCAACATCGAATTATTTTCAGCCTGTAAAATTAATAGGGAGGGAGGGGTGCACACAGTCTGTAACTACCTATAAAACACACCAATAGTTTATCCCATTTTTCCAAGCAGCATTTAAAGTAAGTAAAAACAGCAGTTGTGTATAATCACACATGGTTAACTCTCACAATATTTTGTAGAAAAAAACATAAAATACCCCCAAATAATGGCGGTATCAGGTTAGAAACCTTTGGAATGCTGAAATCCAGGTGACCTTGAGGTATGCTGGATCTGAAAATACATACATGGGCCACTTTATGAGAAACATAAACAGCAACATGATAAAACAGCTGTGAAGCAAGCAAGAGAGCAAGGAAATCTGACGGTCGCTCAAGCTGCGACGAGGATAAACCATGACCGGGGTACCGTGCACCTGGACTCTCGCACTGAATGGCAGTGCGGGGATGGAGGTATCGGGGAGGCTCTCCCTGCAGCTTGCTGAATGAAGCCTGCAGAAGACATGCCCAAGACATTTGTTACATCTCCTGTCAAAGCCTCTTCCTTTCAGAGTCAAGACTTTTATTAAAAACAAAAAATTACACACTTTACAATTTCATTGTCAAGAGTTTTTTTCAAAATTTCTCATATAAAATGTGTGTAGCTAACGCTGAAAAACATAGTACTTTTCTTTGAACCAAATTTTCCCTCAATTGATGAAAACTGGTCTCTAAAGGCAACAGCTGCCAGAACTGGGCTCCGCACCCCCCCTCCCTGCCCCCACTCTCCCCTGCTCTACTATCCTATTGGCTTTTAGAGACCTAAGTAACTTTTTCTGGCCCAGAAGTGATCTCAACTCCTGGTCCTTGACCTCCTAACCACAGAAGTCTCCCTCATTTATTTTGGTAAAAGTCAGAGAAGGGCTCTAGCCATACACTCCCTTTAAATATTCTATCCACCCACTTGCACACTTGTTTAACCTTGGACTTAACTCTGATAGTCTACATTACAAGCTGTGAATCATTCATTAAGGCTGAATCTCAGAAACTCATCTCTATTCCCACCGGAAACCTGTTAAGATCCATAAAGTCAGCCTTGTTAAGACTTTCCCCAATGGACTAAATCTCACCTACCAGCTTCCCAAATCTCATTCTACCACCAAAACTGAAAGTTAAAGACAGCAGTAAGTAGCTAAATTGGTTAAAGCAGTGTCCTGATACATCAAGGTTGCGGGTTCAATCCCTAGTCAGGGCACATATGAAAATCAATCAATGAATGCATAAATAATTGGGACAAATCTATGTTTCTCTCCCTCCCTCTGTCTAAAATGATTTTTTTTTAAGATATCAATAAATAGAATAAATTATTCTTCCTGCTCTTCCTTATACCCACATCTATCCTATCCTCTCCAATAATTCCTGCAGGCTGTGAAAATCATTCAAAGTAAACCAGGAAAAAGTTAAGGGAGAATTTTATTTTTTAGTGTCTGAGTTAAGACATTTTGCAGAATTCCAAACTGCTGACAGACCACTCTGAAATTCTACATCTATCTCAATGCGAAATCCTAGGCTCTGTGGCTACCCTGGTTTGCTTCTGAATGGTCACAGCACGAAGACAGGCCTCTCCCCACCTGCAAAAACACACCTGTGATGGCTGTTTTCATTTAACATTTCAGAATCTCAGAGTCTTCAATATAAAGAAAATACAGACTATTTAAATTTTAATTTATATATATATATATATATATAATTTAAGGTCCTGGACTAAGGGGCCTAGATATCCTACAAGGCTAGGCCTGCTTACCTGGGAAACCAAATTAATGAAGCTATACCTGACTAAAACCTCAACAGAAAGTTTCTGTGCTCCGAGGACTAAGGTATTACTTTCCAATTCAGATTAATATTACTTTCCAAATCAGACCTTCACAAGTTGTAACTGTGTTGCAATCTGGCTCAAGTCTTCCATCTTTATGGTTCTAAGTGTAAAGGTATCAATGGGCTTTCTTTTGGAAAAGGACTCTGCGTACTCGTTTATATCCTATGAGAAAATTGTGAGGAAAAAAGGACCAAGCATCAGAAATAAATATGAATGCATCTGGTTTTAAAATTTTGTAAGTGGAATGTGTGAAATCAGAAGTATAACATACTCCTAATTTTAAATCAACAGCAACAGTGTCAGACCAGCAAAATGAATGGTCATTCAAGAACCCTGACCACAGGCAGGCTCGGGTTCAGCCGGGTTCAGAGCAATTATTCTCACTCTGCTGACAGCAGTCAGATCTGGGTCGCTCACACACTCGCAAGCTGATCTGATCAGGCCGAGCAGGCTTCATGTCTAGGTTTTGTTGGCGGACTATGGAAAACTATGGTGAACATTACAAAAGGAGCCCCCAATACCAAGTCTTAGAAAACAATCCTTAAAGAAAAACTTCTCCAAGTCTCTCTGGTTATAGCAAAAGAAAAAGTTTCCTTTTGAACATCATATTATATTCTTGAAGAAAATACAATTTTTTAAGTCAGTGAATCTGAATTACTGAATCACTGAATCTTCATAAAAAATGGTGGTGTGTTTAGACCTCGATTTCATTAAAAAACAGTGAAGTCATAGTTTGAAAACTGAAAGGAGCTGGGCTCATCAATACCACCAAGCTGAAAAAGATACACTGAAAAAATCTTACTGCTCATTTTACAAAACACTCAAAGCCTCCCTTAAGGAATGCCCTCCTGATTTCTCACGATACAAAACCCTGCCCTAAGCTTTTCTGACCTAGAAACAAAACTTCAGACTGGATCTGAGGAACCCACGCAGGGCCATCTGATGACATGGCTGCTGTCAGCTCACTGTGATCGTTGAGGGAGGCACTTCAGCCAACGTCGACATCTCTGTTTTTGCAGGTCAGAACAGGAAGAGGTCAATGACCTCGAAAGTCACAAAGCTAGGAGGGACCTAGAAGGCCTAGTCCCCCTGCCGACTCACCGCCCCGCACCAGGCTTAGACTTGAATTTGCAGGCATATGTGTAAGGGCAAAGTACAGGTCTCAGGGCTACATCAAGCACAGGTCACCTAAGTTTCATAGTAAAATCCTGATTTTCAACCTCCTGACTTGCAATTTCTAGGGATGGACTTTAGAAATGACGACCAAGTTCCCCAGGTGATCCTGACACCCATCGGTTTGAGGACCACCAGCATGAGAGAACCTTACATCCAAATCCAGCCAGAAAACCCATTTGTTTACCTATCCTTCATGCAACACAGAATAAGCACACCAAGCTGCTTATTCAAACTTCCTGTACCAGTGACCTGAGTTAGTCACATCAAAAGACTTTATGTGCCTCAGCCTCAAGAGACAGGTCAATGGACTTAGGTCAGAGGTATACACAGTTATCAGCTTCACTCTTTCCAAGGTAACTTCTCAGTTAACATTACCCAAAGCATCTTCACAAACTCCATGCCCTTCTGGAGGTGTCTTCTTAGAGATTACCAACACACAGGGTGTCAAATTCCTTGAAGGTACAAAGCATTTCAAGGATGGTGTCGCACCATTAACTTCTAGAGGAAGTAATGTGGGTGTAACCATAGTCAAAATCGTCAATTTGGGTTTATAGAGCATCGGTAATTGCGGTAGGTACTCTAAAGATCATACAAAAAAACTGCCTTCTACCCATTTAAACTTTATTTCATATTGAAAGTGGAACCAAGTCTCCTTTTGAACTCCTTTCTTACAGCAAAGAATTTTAAAAAGGAAGAAAATAATGAAAATTTCAGGTTTATGTTATACACTAAGATTGTGTTCACTGCCTTTGAAAATACTTTCAAGAAAGAAAAAAAAAGTATCTCCTCATTGTCCGGATGTATATCTGAGGAGGAAACAGACTAAAAAGGCATCCCAGGAGCGAGGCCAAGCCCTGGACTTCTGAACCACTGCTCACAGTAGTATGAAAATATAAAACAGCATGAGGCTGAGAAATGTAATATGAATAAAGGGGAAAAACGGAACAGGCTTAGAAATTAGCACATTTGAAAAAACAGTGAAGGATTTTAGAAAGATCAGTCCTAATTTAAGAAAGAAGCATCAGTACCTTATCATTTGAACCTAAAAGAACATACCCAGGGCAAGACAAATTGCAAAAGACGTGACACTCTTGAAATACAGAATTTTATTTAGAAACTGTTTAAAAGTAGAAAAAAACCCTGTCAGGAAAGACCAGGTGGAAAATGGGTTCCCAATAAAATGGAATTTTAGGGCAACAAAAGTCTAAAAGGCCACAAAAGAGAAATAGCACCACTGTTATTTGAACAATGGCTAGTTACTTGCATTTTTGGCATTGTTAATCAATGAATCTGGGTTTTCCTCTGAATTCCACACAGAGCATGCACTACACAACAATTTATCATAAAACACCTGCTTTCTACACACATTTTAGGACAAACTACCACCAGAAACAAATCAATACAAATACATCAGGGGCTGAACAATCTCAGTAGTGGGTGACATACAGTTTGCAGAATTCTGCCAAACAAAGGAACTGAATAGGCCATCAGCAAAGCAAATGAGGAAGTGTTAAGGAATGAAATATTTTAAATATTAATAATTAATTCAGACATGGTACTGTATTTTCTGCAAAAAAAAAAAAGTAACATTTAATAACACGCTAACGAATTTTATCTCCAAAGAGATTAGTGCACTGGCAAAGTATTCTGTTAACAGTGGAGGGCTGTAGACAGCAGGTACCAAAAACACCCAGCCTTGCAGATCCCAAGGTAGCAATGGCCTTCACTGATCACTCCCTTTGTCAGAGGTCCAAAAAGAACTTGCAGCAGGATCACCTGCCGGCTGAACTTTCACTCTAAGCAGCAAACTTTAAGGAGCCAAAAAGGAGTCCCCAGTGGGCAAGGGAAACAGAGGAATATGTTAAATATAAACTTAAAAGACAGTAAAATGGGACACAACCCCCATTCAAATCCCAGAGATGTGGGCAAGTCCCCAAAAGCAGTTGTTAGATTTAAAAACTGAACACACCTCATTTCCCAAAAAACACTATACATAGAAATTTCAAGGGTAATTGGAAAAATCGTCAGAGAAATGCTCAATGCAAATCAAGCTATTCAACTCAAACATTTCAGGGTTGAAACACACCCTCTATTCATTCAGCTAACAATGCCTCTTGCTTCTTAGCAGAGATGCAATTGGTCAAGGACACCAAACGGCTTTACAAAGCAACTTTTTAAACTTTCCTTCTGGGCCAAGGTTAGGCCTATGAAGATTCAGGCAGCCCTGCAAGGCCTGTGAACAGCAGATTCCAAAGTTCCAAGGTCTGGTCCTTCTTTCCCAGACACAAGGGCAACACACAAACTCTCCGGTAAGGTTACATTTCATATTTTGAAACATGGAAGCATATCTTAAATACTCTTAAGGCATTTATTTATTTATTAAAACGTTCTCTGCCGAGATTTCACATTAGCTTAAAATTCAAATCAGTCTTTACCTCCGCGTATCACATAAAAACGTCAGCGTTATCGCATAAAAACATCCTCTCCAGCAATCAGTGTTACCAGCATCCACATGGTGAGCCCATGGTCGGCCTCTTTGTTTCCCAGGTGAACCCACTAGATGTTAATACTGCTCTGCTACAAGGTAAAAGCTCCTAACTCAAACTTATTGGAAAAGGAGTGAAACTTCTGCAAAGTGCACTTTAAGAAGAGGTACTTTTTGCTTATGAAAAAGAAACCAGTGAGTCCTCTAAGAATAATAAAAGGGAGTATTTTACAGTTAAGCACATGATTTGGAGTGAAGAATTCAGATGCTGCTCTGCTGGTCCAGGCTTTTAATACTCTTCTTGTTCCTCCTGTGGTCCCCCTTCATCAGGTATCACAAAACCTTCCTACAATGGGAGAATGAGAAGGGAATGCTATTACTCAACAACGAATGATCAGTTTCTACTCTGAGTTTGCTTTCCTATATTCAAAGTCAGCAGTTCTTCCTGTCTCTCTCCCACACTTGGCATTTAATGGCACAAGGCTAGGGGACCACTATTTGATTATTTAGGCAGTGGGATCCATCTCACAAAAGACAAAAACTGAGCACAATCAAATGGTGAGGGATGTGTATACATCATCTTGATTATAGTGATGATGATGATTTCATATCATCAAGTTGTACTTAAATACATGCAGTTCATTATGTCAATTCTACGTCAATAAGATTGTTTGAGAAAGGAGCCCTGGCTAGTGTGGCTCAGTGGATTGTGCCTTGTTCCACAAACCAAAAGCTGCCAGTTCGATTCTCAGTCAGGGCACATGACTGGGTTGCGAGCCACGTCCCAGGTTGGAAGCCTGTAAGAGGCAGTCAACAATGTATGTTTCCCTCACACAACGATGTTTCTGTTTCTCTTTCTCCCTCCCTTTCCCTCTTTCTAAAAATAAAATAAAATCTTTTTTTTAAAAAAAGGGCAGGAAAGTTCAAGGAGAAAAAAAAGAAAAAAAAAGGTTACCCTCAATAATCCCTGAGGTCACCATAAAGTTCAGTACCATACCATCTCCTTTTAATACATTGTCTACAGCCAGCTTTCCCTTTACACATTCCTGTGACTGCATTTAGGAATCATGCCTGCTATTTACGAGTGTTGTGGGTGCTCTAAGCGTTTAAACATAAACAATGCCTGTGTAAAAATAGCTGCAACACTGATCCAACACAAATGGCATGGGAAATTAGCAGATTTCCAGGGCACTCTGGAACTTACTAATGGCTACACTAACATAAAAATTAGATTTCCCTTTCAACCACCATCTATTTTTTTTTTTTCTAACAAATCTCTACGGCTGAATTTACTTCGACTCCACTAAAATATGACTCCACTAAAATAATACTCAGGCTAGACCAAGGATTCCTTATATGCTTCTCATCTTTGCTTTCATTCTCTGGTACAGAGCAAGCCTGAAAAAAGGATTTATTTACCAAATTATCGATTTTTAAGTCATCTGTCTTAAATCCCTCAAATTTGCTTAATAGATTTAGAGGACAGTGTTAATAACAGCATGAATATTTTACCTTATAGCTGCATACTACATACATACTACAAATTACTTAGGCATATACTATAATTTGATCCTACAGTCCTTGCTAGGAATGCAGAAAAATTTTAAGTACAGCCATTTAACAGTGGACAGAGCAAGGTACCAAAACCTAAATCTAGGAAAAATCAGTCTTTGGCCAACACCAGTTTTAGGATATCTGCCTCAGGAACTTTCCTGATCAGCTAATGTCATGATTAATATCAGCAGATTAGGCTGTGTCATACACCTGGATCCCAAGAAACCTGACCACAAAGCACTCTGAGGAAATGAGAACCGGGCGCGCTCCAGGGAGGGAGGAGCTAAGGTGCACTCTTGATGGCTGTGGGCAGCAAAATCAAAAAGGGAGCACGGGCCTGGCTCCCCGGGGCATGCATGGGGCGCCAATAAAATGGAGGCATCGACTCAGGCCTCGGATTCCAAGCTGCAGAGTATGGAGAGGGGATGGAGAGGCTAAGAGCATTTTGTGGCACTTACCACCTATCAGTGGCCACAAACTACAGAAGTAGGGCAAACCAGCACCTACTTCTTCCTATTCCTGCCGCTCAAGGGTTCACAGACCTCAAGGCAAAGGCTGCAGCTGGACAAAAGTGCCCCCTGGCTGACTTTGAGAGGTCAAAGGTGAAGTCCTTTGATGAATGCTAAATGGGAACACAACAAGCCATCAGCACTGAGTTTGCCAAAACCAACGAGATAAAATTCATTTTCTCTTAGGCAGCAAAATGGCAAATATCCTCATGTCAACACGTACATCTGTGGCATAGAGAATGTCCACAATCCTCTGTAATACAGGGTTATTTTCCCCTTCATTCTCCTGGCAAATCAATTCAATGTTCCTTAGCTTTCCAAAGTAGAAGTCTCTTTCTTTCTCCAAGTCTTCGACGGTAAGTTTCAATACATTGACCTGCACAAAACATTAAAAGAGGGTGAGACACCTGGCATTCATGTACCAATAACATATCAGACAAACGTCTAACCCAAAAGGAGATGTGGTCTTTCATCAAACTCTCTAACATGGATAAAACTCACTTTAGTATAATGTAAATTTTCTTCAGCCCCATATAGATAACATGGGCCTGTTCTTGTCCACCTTAACTATAATAACTCTTAGGAAAGGGCAGACAGCACCATGAAACATTCAGGAACTTCTTGGGGATTGGGTCAAGGTCTAGGAGGAAAAAACTATGAAAGCCTGAGATAAATATAAAAGTAAAATCCAGCCAAGGAGGGCAGCTGACAATCATATATTGAGTCCTTACCACTGGTCAATCAAGTCCAGATCTTTCTGCATGTGGAGGTCAATGGCAAGAGAGGCTCTAGTCCAGGGCAGCAGGGTAGAAGTGGAGAGCTAGTGGAGGAAGACTAGCTGAAGCTGGCTCATGCTAGCCAAAGCAAGCTAGGGCCGCAGGAGGCCTGGGCACAGAAAACTCAACGGGTTTTTTCCCCGCCACCCCCCCGTATATTGGGAAAAGGGGGCAATCCTTGACTCAGAAGAAAAGCATCTTCTAAGATGAGAGTCCTTGCACCTGTATTTCCCCAAAGAGAGTCTGAAAAGGGACAGGAGACAGCGCAGGTAGGGAACAAACATCCCACTGCTGGCTCCCGCCACTGCGCATCGCATCAGTCACCACACATGCTGCAGGAGCCTGCGGGAGCTCCACTGAGGGGCTCTCATTTCCACAGAGGGGCAATGGAGAAAGCAATCTCAGTGCTCAGGCCCGGACTCTGCCTAGCCAAGAGTAATAAATGTCGTAACAACTCTTCCAGTCCTTGATGGATTTTAAGCATGGTGCATCCTCATTCCTGTATATTCAAATCTATGAAACGTGAAGTGAATTCACTTTAACTTTCACTGAATGTAAATTACAAGGCATACCAAGCAGCATAAAATCCTCACAGGACATACAGGCTAGGGCCACATGGAAAACCAAGCCAGGAAATCAAAGGAAAAGCAGGCCGCAAACAATTTGGGTAACAGAGACTACGAGAGCCAGAAGGCACCAATGAAATCTAGTCAGACCTTCTGAACTTAAAGGTGCAAACACTGAAGCGAACAGCCGATCTGGCTTCCCCAGAGCCTGATGAAGAAGCCAGACACAACCAAAGGGATCAAATACTGTGCCAGGTGGAAAGAAGCTCACCGTTCATAATCTGCAGTCAAGAAGCACCCAGAGATGTGGAGCAGGTGACTGGAACGAGCAGGACCATTCTATCAAAGCCATGTCATGCTAATCATCAAAGGCCTGAACAGACCAAACCAGAAGAATCGAGGTTCTATTCCAACCACAAAAATCACTTTTAAACATTATTGAGCACTGGCTGGTGTGGCTCAGTGGATTGAGCGCTGGCCTGCGAACCAAAGGGTCACCAGTTTGATTCCCAGTCAGGGCACATGCCTAGGTTGTGGGCCAGGTCCCCAGTTGGGGGGTTGCGCAAGAGGCAACCACACATTGATGTTTCTCTCCCTCTTTCCTCCTTTTCTCTGAAAATAAAATCTTTAAGAAAAAAGTATTATTGCAAGTTTCATTAAGGTACTACCATCACCTAGTAGCCAGCAAAACAAAACTGTCAATTTCCCCCCATTCTCTCACCCCTACTTTAATTGCTGCAATTATCTTTGCTTAAATATCAGCCCCAAAAATGCAGTACAAAAGGGGATAGAAGGGCAAGAGTTGACCAATTCCAGCAATAGGAAGCTGCCTTGAATCCTCAGCTCAGATCCAAAAGCCTGGGAAAAGGCATTCTAATCACATTAGTGACCAAGAAGGAAAAGAAAACCAAAACAGCTTAGAAAGTTACGCTAGCTTAGAGTCCAACTATGTATACTCACATTTCACTAACGCCTCCCTCACAAACCCATTAGAACCTTCTCTGGCCTAAGCATCATCCACAACACTAGAACCCAGCCTTCTCGGCCCCACCTATACAGACAAGGCAGTCTTCCTCCTACCAGTCAATAACCATATATCTACAAGGAACACTCAGTAAGTACAAATTAAGTCACTGGCTTTCACCTGGCACTCCTCTTTCTGCTTCTTTATGAGGTTATTAAAAATTTGAGGCTACTGGGCTTCCCAAGCTGAGGCAGAGCAGCTGAGCACGTGCACTTGGGTGAGCCCCTTGCCCTAGGCTCCTCGTTGGAGCCCTGGGCATAGCCTAAGGGGCCTGGATGGAAGCCGAGCAGGAGGTCTTCTGCGAGGTTACAGAAACGCCTCTTCTCACAGCTGCTTGGGTGTGCGTCGCACTGCCTCCGAGGCCGGGCCTTGGCGCGGGTGGGCCTGGGGGCATTGGGTCCTAGGCCACGACCTTTCCTTACCTAGGCTCAGTTTCCTCATTGGAAAAAAGGGCTGAGTTTTGACTCTAGGAATTTTTGATTAAAACAATTGCGTTCTTATTTGGAGCAACTTACTAAACACTTCACAGACAGGAAGACAGTAAACTTCAAGTTAAGTAATTGTGAATTTTTCTGAAATAATGGGATATCCCCTGGATGTGTTTCAAAATAAACCAGTTGGTGAAGGAATGTGGGTAGAAGTAGAGGTATAACAAGATTGGCCATGAGTTGACGGCTGAAGTTAATGCAATATTTTGTCCACTTTTATATATGTTTGCAATTTGGCATTAAAAGTTTTTTCTAAAATGAAAAAAAAAATTGTGGCTACTAATCAGTATCACTCCTAGAACCTTCTCTTGTAGTAAAGTAATAGCTATAACCTAAGAAGCCCAAGAAGAACGCTTAGGACCTGCACTGGCCAATCCGGCAGCTATGAGCCATTCGTGGCTACCTGAGCCCTTGAAATGTGGCTAGTGCAACTGAGATGGGTTGTATACACTAAATACACACTGGATCTCAAAGACCTCCTAAGGGCCTCCAAATGTAGAGTATCTCAATAATTATTTGTATTGATTACATGTCAAAATGGTCATATTTTGGATATACAGTCATACCTCAGTATTTGTCGACTTCAGAACTCGTCAAACCCTGTACTCATCGCATTTTGACAAGAAAAAAACATTTCAGCACTCAGCACTTGCTCAGGACCTGTCACACTTGCCAGAACTTGTCATGACACCACCCCGCAAGGGAAAATGCTTCGTCACTCGGCACCCATCAGTTTTGGCACTCATCGTCACGAGTTCCGGAATGAATTAACGAGTACGGAGGTACCACTGTATTGCGTTAATGTGTTATTAGAGTTAATTTAATCTTTTCTTTTTACTTTTCTTTAATGTGGCTACTAAAAATGTTCAAGTTATATATGTGCCTCACATTTCTGGTTCACATTCTATTTCTATTGAAAAGTGTTGTTCCAGACTAAATTCAACTAAAACAAATTTCTCCACATTTAAGTGCTACAGATCTCCCAAGGTTGTTAAACACTACAAGGTTATTTGTACAGAATAAACGCTTCTTCTCTTAGCCTAATGAGCCCATCTGGTTCTATTTCTCTTATTAGTCATAACCCCCAGACCTCCACACCTTTGTCAGGGCCACAGATTAAAGTACTTCCAGGGACCAGAAAGATCATACAATGAGCCAAGGAAGTGAGTAACAGGGTGTGGTAAAAAACTCTGGCAACCTGGAGAGAAGCTACAATCTCTCATATTAAAAAAAAAAAAATTAAAACTCCATGCAAGCCAAAGTACTTCTGAGACAAGGCTGAACAAGCTGTGTATGAGCTGGGTTCAAGTCCCAGCTCAGGAAGCTTAACCTCTCCAAGCCACATTACCCTTATCCATAAAACCTCATAGGGCTAATGCAAAAGTGAAATTAAAATGCTTAATAACATAATGGCACACACTCTAAAAATGTTAGCTATTTTTGTTATTAACGTTCACATAGCTCATACACATTATTAACACTCGTGTACATGTTTCATACACAAAAAGTTTACTGCTGTGAACTTTTAAAAAAATACTTTCGGTCCTATCTCTCTCTATTAAGACAATGGACAGGAACCATAATAACCACAAGTATCTTTTATCAACTGCCATTACTTCGTTTATCCCAACACCACTCCAGGCGCTTCCCGTAACATCAGCTCAAAGGATGAGCCCCAAAATACATAGGAGCACACCCAGGCCCGGAAAACAAAAGAGCGAAGTCTCCTTACCCTCCAGAACTTCAATACTTCAGTGACAGCACCCAGAGAACGCTCAAGGCAACCGCCCCCATGGGGGTGATGACCCGATCGCCTTGACACTCCTGAGGCTCCTAGGACCATGGCTCACACACAAATCAGAGAATTAAAAAAACAAAACATGATCTTTCGGCAGGCTTTTCTGTCCGGCACCTGGGTCGCAAGAGGTTCTAGATTAAAATAAGGCGGTGTCCCCCAGGTTTTAGGACTTGGCTTTTAGGAAAGGAAAAGAGTCCAGTCTCAAACTCACTGGGATAACAAAGCATCCTGATTTTAAGACTGGGATTAATCAAGAGAATCAACGAAAAGCGAACAAAATAACTACAAGGATTAGTGAGAAAATGTTTAAAAGTCTACAATTTGTTCTGATCCATAGACCTCTGACAGGTACCTTCAGGATGTTAATTAATCCTAAAAAAGACATTTCAAATCACTGACCTATTAAGAACGGAACAGTAAGCTTTTCATACCAGTTCCACTCTGAACTTGGATTTCAGAAAAGAAACTGTGAAATCCTTCTTTTGAAAATTATGCAGAAAGAAACTCTCCTTTATCTTTTGTCAGAGCCAAAATTCAAGAGACACTCTGAGTTCCACAGAGCCCTAGCATCATTCCAGGGACATCAACAGAGCTCTACTGTGTAGGTGGGTTTCCAAACTAAGACCTTGGTGGCTATCACACTAACAGATCTCAGAGGCGCCTGACCCCCCTTCCACTTCCACCCCCATCTCCACGCTCACGCTCCCCAAGCAGCACCTGGCTCGCTCACACATGTCACGAGGAGGACTGTTTCAGCAGACAACGCAGGTCTTCCTACAAGGACACAAGCAAGCCTCCTCGGGTCAGTGCAGCAAGCATCCTTTCTCCTGATGTGACTCCAGTCTGGAACACAGGAGGGACCTACCTGCTGCATCAGTTCAGCTGCTTCATCATCCCCGTTGCCCACACCAGGATTCTTCCGCACCACACCTGGGCCAGCCTTAGGGGTTGCAGTAGTTCTGTGTGTTGCCATGGGCCTCTGTGGAGCTGAGAGAGGAGCAGATGTCTTTTTAAGGGCAGAAACTTCAAAACAAAAAGAACCCAACAGACAACAAGAAGAGGCTGTGACCAACTGCCTTCCAGAGTAAAGCAGTAAAGGAACTCAATGTTGAGAGCTTGGCATACATGACAACACCCCCAAGTTTGCCCAAAGTGGTTTTTTAATCCTGGCAGCAAAGTTAAGCACCAATTTCAGCCACAATCTCTTGTGACGAGAGTTAGTTCTTCTGTGAGGTCCTTTTGCCACTGGGGTGAATAGAACTATTATCTGAAAGAGGCACGTACAGTTGCTCTACCGCAACTCACTTCCTACCAAATCCACCAGCGGAGGAGCTTCATGGCATAAAGGCAAATTTCTCACCAGGAGTGAGTTCACAGTCCCAGCTACTGCTGTGTACACACAGTTCCCCATCTGGAAAGTAAGATACTTCCTAGCTCAGAAACTGAGATTCCTTGGATTGGGAAGGGCAGGGTGGTAGAGACTGCTCTGACAACTGATTACTTCAAAACCGCTATCTTGCTCACCGTTTAGAAGGTGTTTAGAAGGGTTAGGAGAGAAATGCAGCAGATTGAGCAGGATTTGCAAATTCTCAGTAGTAATAGTCAACAGACAAAGACAAGGAAAAAGTAATAAAGGGGAACACCCATCTATAAATTAAAATAATCAAGACCGGGCTACCTCAAAGCAAATATATCATTTATGATTTTATTCATTCAGTAATCATTTTGTAAAGCTTATATATTATGTCAGGATTAGAAATACCTGATTTTCCTGACACCCCCATATTATTCAATAACCATAAAGCCTGTCACCTACATACAGTAACAGGCATTTCCTCTGCATGATCTCTATAGTATCATCTCTAGTGTGTTTATCTCTAATAAGTTTATCCCAAAGACTAAATGCTTAATGCAAGTCTCTGCTTGCCTATTAGCCACGTCTGAAATATGAAATGCACATAGTTACCTATGCACTTCCCCGTTCTAAGTAGCTAAGAAATAAAAGTACTCAATATTTGGAGAAACTGGAGCCCTTATATACTCTACTGACGGTAATGCAAAGTGGTTCAGCCACTTTGGAGAACAGTCAGGTATTTCTGCAAAAGGTTAAACAGAGTTGCCATACAAGCCAAGGATTATGATCCAGGAGTATATACTCTAAGATATATGCCCAAGAAAAATGAAAACATGCCCACAAAGAAACTTGGATAGGAATGTTCACAGCAGCATTATTCGTAATAGCTAAAAAGTAAAATCACAAATGATCGACTGATGAATAAATATGTAGTCATACAATGGAATATTATTCACCCATAAAAAGGAATAAAGTACTGATACATGCTACAACATGGATAAATGCTGAAAACATGCTAAATAAAAAAGCCAGGCACAAAGACACACATTGTATAATCCCATTTATATGAGGTCATATAAAAATTAAAAACTATTCAATGTCCCTCTCTTCCTACCAGATGGAGCAGCCTCTTTCTCAAGGCACAATGGGACCTTAACTCATATTTTTGCCACCTTCTAGAAAAGGAGGAGTTAGCATCTGTACAACATTCACCTTGCCCCAAAGTATAAGTATATTCTATATATATATACTACTGCAAACACATTTTGGGAAACCTGCAGGCCAAGACTTCTTAGAGAAGGCCTCTAACACCAGCCCCTGCCCCCCGCCCACCCGCCCAGACTCTGCTGGCCTCAAAGCAAGCCAAAGCCACTTAACAGCTAAAGTTCTGGGGAGGGCAAGGAAGCTGTAAAAGTACAGGAAGCTGGTCTGCAGACAGGATGATGATGCAGAGAGCCAGGAACAGTCCCTGAGCGACCTAGAAAGCTCCTTAAGTTCCTGGGAGCTCAGGTCTGGTTGTAACGGAGCTCTGTGTAATGTCCCTGTGTTCAAATTGAAGTTCTCTTTCATGTGAGCTAACATCAGCGGTTTCTATTCCATAGAACTAAAGGGCCCTGGCAAAACTGCACACAGTAACTCATTCAGGCCTCAAAAGCAATCCTCTGGGACACATATTCGAATTCCCATTTTATATAGGAGGAAACTGTAGGGCAGAGGTAAAGTGGCTTGCTTACACAGGGCTACAGAGACCTAAAAACCATAAAAACAGGTCTGCCTGATGCCATACTACATGCTCCTGCCACATGGCTGGGATTAGGCTCCTTAAACTCCTTAAGCCTATGCTACTCAAAAAAATCTGGTTAAATGTTGAATGAATGAATGAATGAATACCTGGAAAACTATTATCTGGAAATGGTATTTGTTTGGTTTCTTTACCTGCACTGCTAGAGCTGAGAGGTTTCTTCGGTTTGTTCAGAGCTGGAGCAACAAGGGAGGGAGCCACTGCAGTTTCTTGACCTTGTCTGGCAGCTACAGGGTCATAGTCTTTTCCATCATAGTTTGCATCAAAAAACTTCTTAAACCACTGAACGAATTCAAAATTGTCCTGAAATTTTCCTTTTACTAATTTGTCCACAGGAATTATCTGCAGAGAAACATCAAGACTATTTAGCCCAAAGCAAGAGGCTTTTGGCAAACACCAAGCGTGCCCATGCATCAAATGGATATAAAGCTCTAAAATAGTTCAGAGGCAAGAACTTAGTACAAAATAAACCCCTGAAAGTTTTAAAGCAAGTTTCATCCAGTTTGCCTTTCACAGAATAAGTCTACCTACCAAGCCCCCTCCAAGCCCATCAAAAGGAATCAGAAATGCAAAAGGAACAAGTATCACATGTAAGTCACATCCACAATCCCAAGCACATTCTAATGTATGACATTCCACTGTCAGGAGTAAGTCTGCATAACATGCATGGTCACAGTGCTTGTCACAAAGTACAGAACCCAGAGCACGCACGTAGGTATCTACAATAAATCGTGTTTTAAAAAAATTTTAAAAATAGGTCAAGGATAGATTTCTATAAAATGTTGTTTTTACAGTAATTCCAATCCTGTTAAAATATACTTTAAGGGCTCTAAGTTTTGTTCTTATACAAGAATGCTGTGTTATCAGATATTCCTTCATTGAACTATTGGCCAGAGTTTAACTATCTTCAGGAATTCCAGGTGCAATGGCATTTTTATAAAAAATGCATGTAATAATCTGAATTATACCCACCCCTATAAACAAATAAATATAAAACTGCTTTGTTTGATACTGAAACATTTGCAAACATTATACCTGGAATTCCAAAATAACCCGGGCATACACATGATGGGGCAGAGGTGTAACATGAAACAAAGCTGGACACGAGCCGGCAACTGGGGGGCACACGGGCCCTCACTGGACTACACTCTCGACTTCCGTTTACTTTAGAAATTTACCTTATTTAAAAATACTGAATTCTATACAAAAGAAAAATTACTGTATATAACACGCTGCACCTAGTTTAAACTATACCTGGTAACTAAATGATATTCTTATAATACACGTACGTATTTTATATATTGCAGAGACAAAACTAAAATAAAGACTGATTTCAAAGTAAATAAAAACCTGACAAATTTATAAACTTTAAGCTTTACTAAAAAAAAAAAAAAAAAAAGGTTTCCCCCCAAAAATAGTTTAAAAGGATAAACCCTTCTGATGGGTAAGGGAGAAACTGCTTAATTTTGTAATAGATAACACACTGCTTAACAATGGGGATCTGTTTTGAGAAATGCATTGTTAGGCAATTTTGTCACTGTGCACACATCATAGACACACAAACCTAGACAGTATAGACTACTACACACCTAGGCTACATGTAATAGCCTACCGCTCCTCACTGTAAGCCTATACAGAATGTAACTGTCCAACATCTCACAAGATTAAATCAAGCGCAAGACCAAATGATGCAACAGGTGGGCTGGGCGAGGCTGCTGCTGGCATGACACAGCATACCGTTTTACAGCAAACCTTTTAAGTAGGAAGAGCAGGCTCTAAAATAACAATTAAAAAGTATTGTATAGTAAATACATAAACTAGTAACATAGTCGTTCATCAAGTATTATGTACTTATATAAAATAATTACTTGTACTATATACTAAACCTTTATACAACTGACAGAGCATTAGGTTTACTTACACCAGCATCACCAAAGACACTGAGTGCACTGTGCTTCGATGCTATGACGTCACAGGGTGATAGGATAGGTGGTCCTTTGCTGACCAAAACATTATGTGGCTCACGACTATAATCTATTAATATTACCTACTAAAACAGAGATAATCTTTGTCCTAACGAAGCCTGGCAGACAGTGTTTCTGGTACCTTCAAATAAGCTTGGGGGCAAGACGGAAATTCCCAACACAAAGGGATCTTCCTTGTACCTTACTTTTACAAACCAAGTTATTTCTAGGATCTTCTGTTAGAACTACTCACTGTACCGTATGGTATGCTTTACTAAGGTAAATCCAAGGATTACAAAGTTAGATCTCAGACTAATAGAGATTAAACAGGTTGACTCCTACAGACAGTAATATATAACTTCACTATGAAGAAAGAAGACAGGAAGGGAAAAGGGGGTAGGAAGATAGAGGGAAATTTTGCACCCAGTAAACTCTATGCTAACTGGGAAAAAGGTTACGATATAAATTGGGAAAAAGAAAATGTTCAAAGTCATGGGGCGGCATCTGCCTCCTTAGTAACAATCACTAGTCAAGAAACAACCTAAATGGAAGAATAAAATTTACCTACTTTGTCAACACCCATTCTCTTAAAACCTGCTTGCAGTATTTTGAAGTTCTGGATGTATTCATGTTCTAGTTTAGCTTGGAATTTCACTTTCTTCAAGGCAATGGAGCCAGGGAACAGCATGTCCATAAACTGGCAATAGGCAGCCCCTGAATGAACAACAACAGAAGAATAAAATACACAATAAGTCATTAAATGAAGCAGGGTGAACTTTACCCCAAACCCACTTAACCCAGGTACAGTTTTAAAAGTTGTACAGTGGACCTACAAAGCCCAAAAACTTAAATACCACTTGACTTCAAAGTCATTTTTAAAATCTGTAACAAAGCCCTGGCTGGTGTGGTACAGTGGACTGAGTGCTGGCCTGTGAACCAAAATCTGTAACTAGACTGTGGTTTTACCTGGTAGGTTCTACAGCACATTTGTAACTTGGAAGACTATGAGGAGAAAAGGAGTATTTCTATGAAATTTTAAAACTACTCTTTATTAGAAGCTAACATAACAATAAAATGACCACTGCAAAAAATGCATAGAACAGAAAAATGGAAACAGATGACATTTTCTGATTTTTCGCAAGAACATACCCTCCCCCTCATAAGCAACAGGAGGGATTTCCCAAGTATTTCAAAGATCCATCCCCTGACGTAGGGTAAAAAAAAAATTTTTTTTAAAGATGTATGTCCTTCCTGAACTTTTCATGTCTATGTAAATGTAACTATGTTCACTGCAGCATTATTTACAAAGGCTAAGATATAGCAGCAACCTAGGTCTTCATCAATAGACAACTGACTAAAGATGTGGTACACACTGGGTTGGACAAAAAGTTCATTTGGTTTTTTCCATAAGATGTCTCTAATAGTCTTTAGCTTCATTTGAAACAATTTTGTTAGACTGTGACAGCTGTCATATCAATGTGTGTTTTAAAAAAAAACTGGCGAATTTTTGTTTAGCCATTTTAATATTGACGATGGAAGAAAATAAGCAACAATTTCAGCATATCATGCTTTATTGTTTCATGAAAGGTAAAAACCCAACTGAAATGCAAAAAAAGGTTTGTACAGTGTATGGAGAAGGTACTGGTGACTGATCAAACATGTCAAAAGTGGTTTGCAAAGTTTTGTGCTGGAGATTTCTCACTGGATGATGCTCCACAGTTGGGTAGACCAGCTGAAATTGGTAAGGATCAAATCAAGACATTAACTGAAAACAATCAACATTACACCATGCAGGAAGATACCCAACATACTCAAAATATCCAAATCAATAAAGTTATTGGTGAAAATGAAAACGTGTCTTTTATTTTACAGAAAAACCATATGGACTTTTTGGCCAACTCAATATATACAATACATTACCCAGTCAGGCCCTGGCTGGGTAGCTCAGTTGGTTAAAGCATGATTGGGTTCCATCTGATCCCCAGCCAGAGCACATACAAGAATCAACCAATTGCCCTGACTGGTGTAGCTCAGTGGGTTGGGCGTCATCCTGCAAACCAAAAGACAGCCTGTTCGATTCCTAGTCAGGGCACATGCCTGGGTTGCGGGCCAGGTCCCTGTTCAGGAGTGCTGGGGGCATGCAAGAGGCAATCAATCAATGTTTCTCTCCCACTCTGATTTTTCTCTCCCTCTCTTTCTCCCCCACTTCCCCATTCTCTACAAATAAATAAATAAAATCTTTTGAAGAAAAAAAAATTTGTAAAGGCCACTATAAGAAATTATTGAAAGTGGGGAAAAGATTGAGGAAAGGAGGTGGGGGAGGGGGGCAGGGGAAAGTGGGGGTGGGAAGGTGGAGAAAAATGTATTTGAACAAAAAATAAAAATGAAAAAAAAAAAGAAATTATTGTAGGTATTTCATCCCATTTGCTCTCCAATTTCATTCCTTCCCCCACTTGCCCATTTTTCTCTAATGCCTACCAACTGCACTCTCCTAACACAGGGCAGGCTTCATTGTGCCCTACTGCCTGGCCAGGGCTAATTCACCAAAGAAACAAGACAGGGAAGGAGGCAATAAATCTAGTGACTAGGCAGGCAATAGATGTTCTGCAGAACTCGAGACTGCCACTGTATGTATAATCAACTTATTTTAAATCAGGCCAAAATGGCTCCCTGCCAGTACTAGCATAAAGAGTGTCACTGTCATTATTTTTGGAAAGAAGATGCAATGAGAACAAAACACTTCAGTGACCAGAGTGACATTCTTAGTAGAAAGGAGTATCAGAAAGTAAAAGCCTGATTTTTTTGAAGTGGCTGATTTATTATTCATCCAAGAAAAAATATACTGAAGGCATTCTATGTAGTGGGCAATGCATTAGCAATATTTATATTTTTAAAAATACGGACACTAACAGCATCCTAAATTCTAGAGGACAACGACCCAGTGTCTTCAACAAACTAACAGCATAAAGAAGAGTAACTTTTATGTTTGTGTGTGTGTGTGTGTGTGTGTGTGAACTTTATTTCTAGGTATTTACATTTAAAAAACTCTAGTAATTGTTATATTTCAAGAGATTTAACCAATGAGATTTATCAATATTAACAATGTAACCCCACCCAATAAATTTAATTTTTAAGATTTAAAAATAAAAAAATAATAAAAGATTTAAAAGTCACTATTTACCAAGTGCAATGTATAGAGCTTATTTGGATCCTGATGTATACAAATAAACTTTAATAAAAATAAATACATATATAACTTATTAAGTATATCTGTAGCACTGCTTTATACATAAAAAAATATTTTTCTGAAACAAAATAATGTCTTTTACTAAATGCACAGTATTTGTAAGCCATCCATAGGACTTCCAGATCAAGTCAACCAAAACTACTTAAAAGCAGCAGCCATCTGCTTCTCAGAAAAGCCTGCTTGAAGAACTATCAGGTTTTTTACTGTACAGCTAGAAAAAGCCTTAGAGCCTTAAATTTAAAAAATGAGAACCAAAAACAGTGGCCCAAAACCACACAGAGGCCAAAGACCAAGCTCAGGACCATACCTCAGGTATCCTGAACTCCCTATACAATGCTCTTTTGCATGACATCATTATATACCCTCTTAGAACACCCTACAGTTGAATAAAAAAAACACTTCTGGATTAGAAGGGAAAAAAAGAGATATGTCATGCTGCTATATTCTGACTGACTGAAAGAGAATTCTCACACACATTTTCTCTCTCTCTCTCTCTCTCTCTCTCATTTATTTATTAAATTAAGCCCTGGCTGGTGTGGCTCAATGGATTGAGTGCTGGCCTGCGAACCAAAGGGTAGCCAGTTCAATTCCTAGTCAGGGCACATGGCTGGGTTGCAGGCCAGGTCCCCAGTATGGGGTGCGTAAGAAGCAACCACACATTGATGTTTCTCTCCTCTCTTTCTCCCTCCCTTCCCCTCTGTCTAAAAACAATAAATAAATAATCTTTAAAAAATTAAGACCCCAGTAAAAATGGACAAAGCAGGTGGACAATTCACAAAAGAAATGTAAATGTCCAATGAACACATGGGGATCCAGCCTAAGAAAGTAATTTTTTAAAAGCATGGCAGCCCTGACCAGGTGGCTGAGTTGGCTGGAGTGCTGGCCTGTACACCAAAAGGTTGCGGGCTCCATCCTCCTTCTGGGCACATACGGGAGACAATGGATCGATGTTCCTCTCTCACATCGTTTCTCCTTCTCTCTTTCTGTGTCCCCACCCCAAAATCAATAAACATCCTTGAATGAGGATTCTAAAAAAGGGGAAGGGGGAACCTACTCATGAAACTGGTTATCATGAAGTAAAAAAAGGAAGCAACCAGCGCTAGCCTTGCCAGGGCCGACGGGCCCCTGCGAAGCCTAGCACAGCACTTCCTGCACTGTGACCTCCACAGCAAACAACGGCAATGCAGCCTGGACCCCTGCCGCGAATGGGAGGAATGCAGGAGTGCTGAGGCACAGCGGTCCCCTGTTAAGAGTGGGCATTTGAGAGTCCAGGCTGCACAGAAACCCCCAAGGCAGAACCCCCTGTAGACTAGCATCTCCCTCTGCCAGAGGACGGGTAAGAAGCACCCTGCACAATTTCCTCTGGTAAGTTTCACATGGGACTGTTGCAGATCCTAAGGACTGGGACTGGCCCAAACATTCTAGTAGGTACCTAGGAGCCTCTGCCTGGCTTAGAACACAGAGCCCTGCCATCTCTAGCTCCACTTGCCCAACCCTCACCTGCATTCAGGGTGCCCCACTGCTGCCATGCCCTGGAAGACCATTCTGCCCACTGCACAGCTTCCAGGAAGGCAAACACCCCTGCAGACTGCTGTCAGGTTGGGCTTTCTTATGCTCAGGCCTGCCCTCCCCCATTGGACAACAGCACAGGAGATGCCCAACCTGAGGTCTAGAATTCTCAGGTAAACTCTTTGAGTGGTAACCCTGACACGTGTAGACACGCAGAAGGTCAGAAGGAAGTTAACTAAATGGTTATGCTTCCAGGAGCACCTTAACTGGCCCTGGTTTGGTGATAACCGTGCATTGTCAGCCCCTGGTGTCCCCGCTTGCTCAATTCCTCTGCAGACAGAGATGAGGTGTACCTCTGGACCAGCATGCACCTCCTAGGCTCACAGGGTGTGAAATTCCAGTTTTTAAGACATGCAGAGAGCCACAGAACATACCACTTCGCATAAAAAGGCTTCCTGAACTCTTGGCTGAAGAAACCCAAGCCCAAGACACATGGGACTTTGGTCTGCTTCTCTGTAAATTTTCCCAAACATTTTTAGAAAATGTGGAATATGTCAAAAGCCATTTTACACATCAGATTCCAGAGAGAAGCTGAAAATCATTCAACAGTTTAGTTGTTGAGATTGTTAAATTTCACATCTGACGTTGTACTCAATGTTAGAATTTTATATGCTTATACTCTTGTAGGTGTTTTAAAAATACATACGTATGAAAGAACAAGAAAAAAAATGGAAGCAACCTATATCTCCCACAGTAGTTGCGATCAATTACATAAATTTTTAGCGTACCATCTGCCTGACAGAAAATTATGCAGGCATTCAAAACATATTTTTTTTACTTCTTTAGAAAAAGCTCAAGATTTAATATTAAAAGAAAAAGCAAGATATAAAAACGTCTATATCTTCATGTATGTAATATCCATCTTGATATATATGCATATAAAAAAACTTGAAAATGG